AGCCCCAATAAAATGATTAAATTTTTTAAAAAGACACTTTTTTTCTTAGTGTTAACTTTTAGTCTGAAATGGAAACTACAGCAATTTTTAAAAGGTCCAACAGACAAAGCTGGGCATGATACCACAATAAAAACCAAGATATTTCTACCAAAGAAAAGGGACTCTACGAGCAGGGCCATCAACAACAGCTGACAGCAACAACATGCCCAGTGCCGGGTGCTGCTCTGCACGTGGCCCTTATACCTGGCCTCTAAGGTCGGCGCTGGGATTGGCATTCCCAATTTTTAAAACTAGGCAATCGAGGCCCCAAGAGCTCTGTTGGCAAAATAATCCCCAACTGAATCTAGGGTGCCCACGCTGTGCCTGTGACAACTCCGCTGGCTGGGCTGGGACCCCTCACCTGAGCAGAATGGCGGCTCCCTGGGCACCCACAGCGACATCCACCAAATCATCCCCATCCAGATCTAGGCGGCCGTCCACACTTCGGCCGAAGTAGCTGAGGGCCCGCGGCATGGACATAGCAGCAATTCTCTGAGAGGGAGAGCGGGGAGACTGAGGCAGGAACTCCCACAGCCAGTGCCCAGGCCTCCCACCCGACCCTCTCCAGCCTCTCCTCAGCCAGGGGAATAAGGGAGAGGTGCCTGACGTAGGGCCTCTAGCTCAGCAGCCTGTATCCTACCCCACCACCACACCTTACTGCCCACTGAAGAAAGCCGAGGGGACTTGTGATAAGCAAAGAGCACCCTTCGTCTCCCCTTCCAACCGCCCCACTGTGCCCCTGCCTCATCTGGGCCCTCCTGACCTGCGCAGGGCGGGGCCTGACGCCACGCTGGGTCCCATGGTAGAGGTACAGGGCACCCTGGTGGCCATCCTCCAGGGGTGCCCCCACAGCCACGTCTGCAAAGCCATCTTGGTTCAGGTCAGGAAGGGCCCCCATGGCAAAGCCAAACCTGGCGTCCTGCGGGGGTTCTGGCTGAAGTGTTCCCTGGAGCAGCAGCAGGGGCTGCTGCTGGAGGAGATGGGGAGACGGAGACGGTGATCAGACAGCCCTCCGGTGTCCCCACCTTTCTCCCTGGCCCCTCCCACAAGTCCTTGAGGTATCCTAGAACATCTCACCTGGCCCACCAGATACACATAAACACGTCCTGTCTCTTTGTTCAGGGGTCCCAGGAACATGGGGGCAGCAACCAGGAAGACGTCAGTGGCTCCATCCCCATCTGTATCTAATGGGCAGAGCTCACTGCCGAAGTAGGAGCCAATCTGGAAAGGGGCGGGGATGGGGAGCCCAGAGGGAAGGGAAGGTGGCTGGGGACACGTGGACTTGAGAGGAAGCCCTCCCCAGCCGGCCACCTGGTCCTCCGCCCACTGCTGGCAGGCTCTGCCCACCAGGCCCTGTCTTCCCAGACTTCACAGGGCCCTCTTGGGCCCCTTCACTCTCTTCTCCCACCACCTGGGGGGTCTCTCAGGGGTCCAAGAGCCCTACCTGCTCCCCCTGGAGGCTCTGGGCAACCCTCACAGCCCCGTCTTTCTGAAGCTGGAAAGCGATGACCTTGCCCCGGTGTTTAAACCGAGGCGCTCCCGAGATGAACAGGCGGCGTCCTCCTCGCAAAAGCACAGAGGAAACCGAGTAGCCTAGATGTGGGCAAGGCATTGGGGCGAGTGGGAAAGAAGCTGGAGCCAGACCTGGGTCTGTGTGGTGGGGAGGGGGGGGCTCCCTGAAGGCACTGGAGGACGTCCCAGCAGGGAAAGCAGCAGAGCTCAGCGAGAAGGAGCAGCTCTGAGCCGCCCTGAGGAAGGCCCTCGCCCACCACCAAGGAGTCTGCAGCTCTTGGCTCCTCACCCAGGTAGGCCGCGTGGTTCTGCAGTGCAGGGGGGAATTCGTCCTCCAGGGCCGTCCGTGGGGGGAAAAGGCGATGACCCTCCTCAAGCCAGAGCACGGAGCCTCCCCAGTCGTAGGCCCCCACCATCCCAAAGAGAATCCCGTCCTGTGGGGCAGAACCAGTGGGGGTAGAAGAGAAACAGGGACACGGAAGGGATGCTGGGCCAGTTGGAAAGGCCAGGAGGCGCTTACAGGAGAAATCGGGAAGGGGCCTAGGGTTGAGGTGGTCGGGTTCAAAGGCTGGAAGGAGTCGAGGGGCCGAGGTTAGGAAGGGTCATGGAGGGGGTCACAGCCTGCCCCACCTTTAGCCGATGCGTGGAGAAACCGATCTGAGACATTTCTAGGCCGAAGGAGCTTTCGTTCCCTTCATGGGACCCTTGGGCATAAGAACACATCACAGCAACGTGAAGGGAAACATTCTCCCTTCGATCCACTGAATTCACTCCAGAACGCACCCCCGCCCGCCCTGTCCGCTGCTTGTTCAGCGCCGGACCTTCAAGGCCAAAAATCCGGTCTCCTAATGCATCCACAATGTCCGTCAGAGCAGCCTCATCGGTGACATTGAAGAAGAATCGTTCGTCTGGATCGCTGGCAATAGTTCGGATCTCCCGCAGGAAAGAGCTGGGGTCTCGCTGCCGGCGGAGGTAGTGACCAAGGACCTGGGGTCGGGGCAGAGATGAAGTCTGTTAGCGGCACAGGACGAAGTGTCCAAGCCGGTAGGGCACCAACTACTAGCTGCCATCGAGGCAATTCTGCTGCGTCGCAACTCCATAGGACTGAGTAGAACTGCTCTCTGGAGTTTCCAAGGCTCTGACTCTTTACAGGAACAGAAAGCCTCATCTCCCTCCTGTGGAGCAACTGCTAACCTTGGCAGTCAACAGGGCAGCGTGGGACCCACTCTACCACCAGGGCTCCTCTAACACCTCCTCGTGGTGGCCGTAAAGGGAAGGCAATAAAGAGGATGGAAATCTGGGTCGTTATCAATGCCCCTGTTTCCTTGAGTTCCCATTCCTCAATGTCTCCCCTCCCTCTCCCCCGATCCAAGTGGCTTCTCACCGCAATCCCATAGCGGGTCACTTTGCCAGCCTCACAGGCTCTCAGGGCTGCGGGCAGCTCCTCCCCATCATGTGATTCTCCATCGGTGACCACCACCAGTAGCCTGGCTGCCTCTGGTCGGCCCCCTCGGGATGGACTGAACCCCTCTGTGCTAAGAAGAGGGAGAAGGGAGTGAGGTGTGGGAAGATGTGTACACACAGTCAGCAGGTCACTGAGGTCAGGCACCTTGCCTTTTTGTCTCCCCTCCTGACATGGGCTCACATGGCCACTGGCACCCAGTGAAAACTCAAACATCATAAAATACAGCGAGCGGCATGTTATCAATGCACATAAGTATAAAATCCAGC